CCTTGGGAGTAGGTCAGGACCACCTTGGGGCTCCCATCAGTGTTTTGATCTGGCAGCTCTTGAATGCATCATGGGGCTGCTTGTTCATGGTTGGCCCTCACTGGTGGCTCATCCTCATCCCAAGATTATCAAATGTTTCTGGATCCATCTCCCCTGCACATTCCATTGGCCGGGAAGCTTGCAGATGGGAGCTGAAAACCCTGTCCCTGATCCCCTCCCTTTGGACCTAGGCCTGTTGCAGTCTCCAGGCTCATTCTGTTCTTCCTGTTATTTCCCAGCCACATGTGGAGCTGCTGTGCCGCCCACCAGCGCTCCCAGATGTGCCGCCCACCAGTGTTTTCCAGATGTGCTCACCCATCTTTCACAAAGACATTGAGAAGCTCCAAGCCCCACCACCAGCAAACCCCACCATCTCTCAGGGCCAGCCAGAGAGTCTCTTCATATGCTCCAGTTTCCTCACTAACCACTGGTTCAGCCCAGGAAGGCCTGGCCCCATGTCAGATGTTATTGTTTGAAGAGCTGGGTTAGGAAAACCTCTCTCCTTTGCCTGGGAAAGCAGCTCTCCCGCACTAACACACTCCCTACCTTCTCATCTTTGTTCATCTCCTGCTACTTTGTGCCCAGTGAATATTTCTGCTACAAGTCCCCTGGAGTGGGGACAGGTTTTGTTGCCCAACTGGAATGGGGCTCCACCAGAACCTGCCTTTCCTGGGAACCCTGGCCTCTCCTTAATGAGGGGAGGAAAACCCCATCCCCCAACCCCACTAAGGCTGTCAGTGCCCACAGCAACTGCAGGGATGTGGAAATACACCCCAAGAGCCTGCAGATGCCTTGGCTGAGTAAAGACACCAGCATGGTTTGGAGCTGGGGCTCCAGATCTGGACCCCCTTTGCCTGTGAAATCCCTCTACTCCTCTGGGCCTGCTTGCCATGCCACATCTTAGAGGCATGCCTGGTCCTTCTCTGCCTTGGCTCCATAACAGAAGTGACACCCCACAAACAAGCTGTAAGCCTGGAAAATTGGCATGAAATCATGGGGAACTCATTGCTGGCTCACAGCAAACCTTGGCCCTGCATCTGACTAATGATACAGTTATTTGTGGTTACCACAAGTGTCTGGTCATGCTGAGGGTCTCTATGCCTCCTGCTATTAAAGCAAGTCCCTTAAAATTTCACCACGTTCCTCTGTCCCTGAGGACACTCAGGCAAGGGTAAAGGGATGGAAAGCAGCCCTGGGGAGAAAGACTTGGGAGCACTAGTGGTTGAAAAGCTGGACATGAGTTGGGAACATGCACTGGCAGACCAGACAGCAAAGCCTGTCCCAGGCTGCATCAACAGCAGCGTGACCAGGTCAAGGGATGGGATTCTGCTCCTCTGCTCCAGTTTGGTGAGACCCCTCTGCAGAGCTGAGTCCAGTTCTGGGGTCCCCAACACAAGAAGCACATGGAACTGTTGGAGCAAGTCCAGAGGAGTCCACAGAGATGATGGGAGATCTGGAGCAGCTCTGCTCTGGAGACAGTCTGGGAGGGTTGGGGTGTTCAGCCTGGAGAAGAGAAGGCTCCAGGGAGACCTTATTGTGGCCTTTCAGTACTTAACAGGAACTATAATAAAGGTGGGGACAGACATTTTGCCTGGGCCTCCAGTGACAAAACGAGGAGCAGGGGTTTGGAACTGAAAGATGGTGGATTTGGATTGGACATAAGGAAGAAATTCTTCCCTGTGAGGGTGGTGAGACCCTGGCCCAGGTTGCCCAGAGAAGCTGTGGCTGCCCCATCCCTGGAAGTGTACAAGGTTGGATGGGGGCCTGGAGCAACGTGGTCTAGTGGGAGGTGTTCCTGCCCATGGCACAGAGGTGGGACTGGATGATCTTGAATGTCCATCCAAACCAAATCAGTCTGGGACTCTAGAATGATGCTCAGGGAGAGAGCACACCCCTTTTACCTGTCCTTCCAGCAGCTTTCCCAGCTGCTGCATGTTCCCTGAGCCCAAAGGGCTGGGGTCCATGGCTGGCTGCTTTGGGAGCAGTTAAAATGACAGTGGGCTGCTAAGCAGGGTAATCCCATGAGACATCTCCCTCCACACCACCTTGCTGTGCAGTGCAAGGACAAGTCCTTGTAGAGGGAGGCGGCTGACAGGACAGCAGAGGTGGCAGGGTGGCAGAAGTGACAGGGCAGCAGGCTGTGTTGTGCTGGCTCCCCACAAAGCTGCTTGCACATGGAACTTGCTCGTTCAGGCAGATCCTTTGCTTCACAACCTGGAGTCAGAGGTGACATCTGTACCTACCTTGTGTGCTAGCACCCAAAATCTACATCCCTGGTTTCCTCATACAAACAAAGCTGCTCTCTTCTTCCCATGGCATCAGGAGATCCCTTGTTCCATCTTCCATCTCAGAGAAATCCCTCCCTGCCCCTTGCAACCATTTTCCCACTGAATTTGCTTGTGCCTGGAGCTCATTTCATGGTCCTGGCCAGGTGCTGAGTGCCTGATGCAGCCACTTCAGTGCCAGTGTCTGCTCCGTCCCCAGGGATGTGGCTGGGTTCTCCCTGTGTGGGGCAGGGGCTGCCTGCACAGTGCAAGAGCACAGCTTGCCCTGCCTTGCCCCACTGCCCTCACTGCTGGCGACTCCTCTAAACCAGGCATGGTGAGAAATGTCTCCCCTTGCTGGGGCCAAAGCCACCAGCACCTGTCCCTGGCCAGGCAGAGCTCAGTGCAGCATCCCAACATGCTGTCCCCCTCCGTGCCGCCTCAGAGAGAGATTCCTCTGGCTACACACGGTTTCAGGTGGCTGTCATTCCCCCCAGGCACTGGGAGCTTTGCCAGCATGTCCCAGCACTTGGTGATCTCTTTGCACTGGAGGTTGAGTCTCCTGGAACACTCAGCATCAGCCAGGGCTGGGCACAGGCTCCCACCAACCTGGGCTCAACACCCCCTGCCCTGTGGGGCCAGGCAGAGGGTGACAAATGTGACCCCATGCAGAGAAGGAGGAACAGCCCCTCCTGCAGTGAGAAGGGACACAAACCCCCTGGTCCAGGTCATGTATGGGCAACCTGTGAATAGGTCAGTCAAGTCTGCACCAAACCAAGGTATGGAAGACGCTCACATCTCCACTTAAGTCCCAGTAAGAGTTTCACCATACAAGTAACCTCCTCTGGAAAGGGACTCTCTGTTAAGTACCCAAAAGCTAAATAAAGATGAGAAGCAAGAGAGAATCCCTTGAATTTTCCTTGCACCCACAGGGATCTCCCAGCCCTGTTTCTGCTCATTGCCATCGAGAAAATAGATTTTTGGTGCCTTTTCAGGCTCTGAAGACCTCTTCTCACTGTTTGTCCAGTCATGAAGAGAAACAGGAGGCTTGGCAGCTATTGAGAAAGGGATTAAGTGCAATCCAGAGAAGAGCTTTCTGTGTTAATCCCTGCTGTGGTTGCCCTTAGAAGGGTTGCAGGTGTGCACCACAGAACCACAACAGGTGAGAAAGATGTAAAGAAAGTCAGGAATAGGCAGGTATTTCCCTGTGGAAACCAGACGAACCTTAAAGCCAGCATCGATGCAGGAGGGCAGCAGAAATTATGCTCTGCTAAACCCACAGAGACAAACCGAATATTTCCTACTGTATTAGCAGCAGCAAGAAACAGGAGCAATTTTTTCACATAAATCAGTATATTAATGTATTGGAGTTGATTGACACAGGTTTTCTGGAGGTTAAATTGAATTAATTGAAGTGAGGGGGTGGACATGCCTGCAAATGCTCCCAGGTCAAAACCAGCAGTTCTGGGGAGAAGCCCTGTGCTGCCGTGATGGGCACTGGCTGGGTGAGGGTCACTTGCTCTGCCCTTATTTAGATATTTTCTTCCCCAGGCTCTGCTGCTCGTCACAGCTTCAGGGAATGACACCAGAGCTCCAGTGGCAAAACCACAGCAGCATGTGGGGACTGAGGTCCCCAGACCACAGGCCCTTAGCACAGGCTGGGCCTTGGTGCCCAGAGGCTGTAGCAATGGGCAGGAAGCTCTGCAGAAGCCCCATGCAGTGTGCTGAGGAACTGCTGCAAAAGTGTTTTGATATGAGAAAAATTGAGAAGAGAGACAGGTTGCAAGGAACTTGAAGTGTGACTCCCAGCCTGCAACCCAGCTGGGCTGGAAGGCCTGTCCTCCCTCAGTCTCCTCTCCTTGGTGATATCTCCTTGTTTATTATTTTGTTCACTGTTTTATCCCACTGTGTAAGCACGATCCAAATATCCTCAGAGCCAGGGGCCCAGCCTTCCTTGGCTTGCTGCTCCATGTGTTAAAGCATTACATTATTCACTTGTGACCATATTAAAAACAATCTCAGTATACATCTGGGCTCCTCAGGGCTGTCACAAACTCCTTGTAATGATTAAAAGCAGTAATATACTCGTAGCTGTTAATCATAATACGTGAGACACTTTTTTGGAGTTTTTTGTTGCTCAGGGTGTTCTCACCTCCACGAAGCCCACCTTTGGGCTGAGTTCCAGGACAGAGGCAGTGCCTGGGGCAGGATGGGGCTGAGCCCTGCGTCAAGGACAATGCCTGGTTGGGGGGAGAAGATGGGACTAATCCAAAGGATTTGGCCGGGGAAAAGGGACAGGGTGGGTGGGGCTGAGCCCGAAGAAATGGTGATGCCCGAGGGCGGGGAGCAGGAGGAGGCTGATCGCGGGGCAAGGGTGATGCCCGGGGCGGTGGGGCGGGATGGGGCTGAGTCCTGGGTCAAGGACCATTCGGCGGGGGGCGGGGAAGTGATGGGGCTGATCCCGGGGCAGGAGTGATACCGGGGGCGGGGGCAGAGCGGAGCCCAGCCCGGGACAGGGGCAGCCCGACCCCACCCGCAGCGCGGCGGAGCCCGGTTTCCCTCCCGGGTGGGCCGGGGCGGCGGTGACTCAGCCGGGAGAGGCGGGCGAGGAGGAGGGGGAGGTGGCGGGGCAGGAGGAGCAGCGGCAGTAGCTGCAACCGCCGTGGAGCCGCTCACCTGCCCCGCTCGGCCCCCGCCATGGCCCGCCGGATCGCCGCCGTCCTCCTGCTCCTGGCCCTCGGCTGCCTCCTGGGCATCCTCCTGCTCTGTCTCGGCTCCGGGGACACGCGGGGCCCGCCGGGCTTCAAGGTGAGCGGGGCCGGCACCGGGGACACCGGGCAGGGAGGGGACGCGGACAGCAGGCACAGGAGGTCCTGGGCTGCCAGGGCTGGGGGAGCCGCAGTGGGGACCCCGATCTGCAGGATGTCCGGGCGGCAGCGGCCCCGGCCCCCAGCACATCCCTGGAGCCACGGGATGGCAGCGGGGCTGGCGGTCCCCGAGCAGCAGGGCGGGAGCCGCTCCCTCTGGCCCCCCGCCAGCACCGAGCCCCTGCCGCGGGTACCCCCGCCCGGCACCACAGACCTGTGTTTTGAGAGATGAATCCACTGGACTCCCTACCTAATAACGTCGGTGTGTCCGGATGCGGCCCCCCAGGCTGGAGCAGCCGTGTCACCAGCGCTGCGCTGGGGCCGGGGCACCCCGGGCACCCCCAGCACCCCGGGCACCCCCAGCACCGCCCGCGCTGGAGCCAGAGCTGCTGGACCAGAAATGCACCTCCCCGTGAGAACAAGCTATATTTTTTAATCCTTTTTTTCGTGTAAATTTAGATGCTGAAAGAAGTTCCCAACCAATTTCTTGCTGGCTAAATCCCCATGTTGACTCTTTTTCAGTTCAAGTCTTTTGTTTAAAAAAAAAAAAAAGGGTTTTATTGTTGTTTTGTTGTTTGGGTTTTTTTGGTTGTTTGGGTTTTTTTGTGACAGACAGAGCTATTCAATGGAGTGAAGGCTCTTGTCGTGGAAAATAGCTCACCCAAAACCCCCATTTTCTCATCCCAAGCAATTTACTTGGAAACTTTCTGAGCTGGCCTGAGTGCCAGATGTGTGTTCCTTTCACTCCGTGTTTGTCAAATGCAATGAAGATGAGGTTGAGAAAATGAGTTGGCCAAAACGATCCTCGATGCTGCTAGTGTAACTAGCAATGATTAACTCTTTCTTTTTTTTCTTTGCCACCCATTGCCACATGCTGAGGCATATTGAACATGGTTGGTTTCAAAACAGATTTTGTCTCTTTGGACATGAGGGAATGAGACAGATTGGTGCTGAGCCCCATCTGCAGCACTTGGCACAGCCTGGGAAGCCTTTTCTGCTCCTGGTTCCAAGATGGATCTTTGCTTTTAAGTCAGGTGCATTCCCAGAAATTTAATTTTTGAGCTTTTTTGTACTTACTCTCTCTCTGAAGGGTAGCACCTTACAGCCTGAAGACAGCCCTGCAGTTTGGGACTGAGAATCTCTGAACACTCCTGTGAGTCTTGGCCCCGCTTGGCCTGGCCCGTGGACTTGGGGTCTTGCACCCTTCTTGGATGTGCCAAGTGCACATGGAGTGTGCAGAGAGGCACTGCCCACAAGAGCTCATCACCAGTGTTATGGCAATGCCAGGTAGGCACTGAGCTGTTTGCTTTTGCACAAGTCTCAGGGCCTTGTTTTGAGGATGCAAATCTTTGGCATCATCTAACTCAGCCCAGAATGAGCAGACATGAGGTAAAGGTTGGTCCTGCTGCAATGGACCCCAGGCATGTGCTCTCACCCACGGGGGCAAGACATGGTCCTTGCTGGCTCAGTCCACATTGGCACAGCTGCTGGCTGATAGCACTGTTCACTGCTGAGCTATGACTCCATGTCTTCCCTTTGCAGCTCCTTTGCTTGGAGTATAGCCCTAAAAATACTCCAAATTAGTTATCCTGTTGCTAGAGGGGCTGATCTTGGAGCATGGTGTTCCCCTTCCCTCGCTGGTCCATAACAGGCCTTTCAGCACCAGTGCTGTTGGCTGGAGCTGTTGCCTTCTTTTGACAACCATTTTTCCTTCTTTTGTTAAATCTCTTCCCTGGCTGCTACAAACTGCAGGGCTCTTCCCCTGCCAGCCATCCCAGCAAAGCTGCAGTTCCCAAGGTGGAAAGGAAACCTGTTATAGCCCACCACAGACCTGGGGGCCCATGGGTCTTGCTGCCCTTGAGGGAGATCAGATGTTGTGGGGCTGGACTGAGCCCCCACTGCCCCATGGGGCCACCCAGAGAACCTGTGGGGCAGGGGCTGGAGGACCAGGCACAGCTGTGGGGCATGGTGCTGGACTGCAGTGAGTTGGGCAGTTCTCAGTGTGTCCCCTGCCTCCTCCCCCAGTGTGTGGAATATTTCTAGGTAGAGCCATGCACTCACCAAGACGCCTGAGCCCTACTTGTGTCTTCACTGCCCCACGGCCTCTGGGGACATCCCTGCCCTCTGCATCCCTTCTGCAAGGGCTTCAGGACTGAGCAGCCCTGGTTTGGGCTGGACTGAGCAATGCTGCAGTGTGACAGAGCCCACGGGGCCATGGGTGACCCAGGAGGCAGCACAGCTAGAGGTGGCACAGGGACATTGTCCCAGTGTGGGGCCACACCATCCTCCAGCCCTGTGGCATCACAAGGGTATGGTCAGGGGCTCCCTGTTGTTAGAAAAATCCATCATCCCTGTGCCACCAGGAGATGCTGGGGTAGGGGACTGTCCCACAGACAGTCTTGCCAGGGCCAAGAATATGCGTGTGAGGCCTTGGCAAGCCCGGGGGGCGCTGGCAGCTGAGCGTGTCAGGGAGGATGAGAAGGATGACAGGAGGCAGGCGCCAGCATGGGAGTGTCAGGGCATCCTTGTGTCCCTCCAGCCCTTGTTTCAAGCCCACTCCTTGGCAGGTGCCAGACGCCTTGGCTGGCAGAGCTGCGGGCCAGTGCTTACGCTGCAAATCACTAATGAGATGGGCCTTCAGCCTGGTTTCTCCCTCCCTGGGCTTCTCATCTGCAGGGGCTCTGCAGACAACCCTTCTGTGCCCTTTGCATGGCTCTGCTGCCCAGGCACAGGGTCTGGAACAGCAGCTGAGGCAGGAGCTGGGACAGCCTCACTGTGAGTGTCCCCATCCCTGATCCCTGTGTGGATGCTGGAGGTGTGTGTGTATCCCCAAGTCTGGGGAGCGGATGGGACCTCTCCCTCATCCCTGGAGATCGTCTTGGCTGTCCAGGTCAGCCCCAGCCCTTTGCTGCACACATGCCTGTGCTCACCACTGCTGCCAGGGAGGACAGCTCCTCTGTGGGGACAGGACAGGGTACAAAACCCTGCACCCTGGGAGCGGGGGACTGGTGCCAGGCTGCAGAGGCTCCCTTGGTGTGGAAGCAGCCAGGAGCGAGCCATGGTGTGGGTGCTGGCGG